AGTGTAGAAGAGTTACTTCCAGATCGGGCCCATAAACACCTTCCCTGTGTCATGACTTCCAAGGATTCTGAGGTTCCAGAGGAAGGTGAAATCTCAAGATAGAGTCCCCGAATCACCACACAGAAGGTCACCTGCAATCAGAACATCCATTTAGACTTCTAGTGAACAAGAAACACACCACTGTTACATTTAGTCAGGGTATTTTGGAGGCTCACCTGTGAAATCAGCTAGGACTTCCCCAGCTAACAGTTGCTAACAACTAACAGGCTTCAGATTCAGAGATTTTAACATGATACACTAAGGGAGGCAGGCTTGTCACATTTCCAGGAATAGCTTGAGGGTTTTTTTGTTTTCTTAAATAGTTTATTGTCAAGTTGGTTTCCATATAACACCCAGTGCTCATCCCAACAGCTTGAGGTTTTTTTAAACCTCTAAAATGCAAACACAAGATGCATGTTACATCATGAGCTGATGATTTAGAAAGAATACTCCTTTGTTCCTGATATGGTAAGAATTGGGGACACAACTCCTAATTGTAAGTAGGGGACAATGGCCAGGAGGAAACATTTGTATAAATGTTGCTCTGTCTATAATAACACCACCAATTTCTGCCTTGTCAGTTCAGAATGGCAGAGAAAGACTGGAATTAGACTGTTGTACTAGAGATGAAAAAAGTTTCACTTTTTCCTTTTCTACAGCCTCTAGACTGAAATAGGGACCCAAGGGGATTCTAGCTCATTATTGTTTACAGTCCTGTAGACTGTGGTTGGACAGCCAGTTGAAAATTAGTCCATGAAAAAAGGATTCTATGGTCAAATAAATTAAGGAAATACTATGTAGTTTATTCTCCCCATGAGGGATCTCAATGCATAGAAGCAAATTAAAGACTCTTAGAAGCTCTGTAATAAGAAAACCTGTTTTTAACACTGTAAATTTATAAGTAACAATGTATAATATAATTTTATTATATATTATATTTTATTACATTTTTGTATATTTTATTAAATTGTTATAATTTTATTTATAATTAAATAACTCATGTATAATAAACTACCCCCAAATCTGTTTAATACAGTAAAGGTTTATTTCTCACTAATTGCATTTCCATGTAAGTCAGTGGGTGATTGGAAGAGAGTAGGGCTGTACCCCAAGGTCATTGGGGCCAGGGACTTAGGCTCCATCCACTGTGTAGGGCTGTTCTCTTCTAGGGCTTCAGAATTTTCCACTAGATTCTTTGCATCCAGCTAGCAGAGAGAGAAGTATGGGAAAGGCACACAGGCTCCTAATTACCTTTAGAGATGTTTCTCTTCACTTTCACTCACCTTCCATTGGTGAGAACCAGTTCCAAGGTCCACCTACAGGTAAGGGTATTGGGAATGTACCTAGGAGGAAGAGAAGACACATGGATATTAGTGAGCAGTCTGAGTAGCTGTCACAAGTTGTCCTGCTGATCCCCCAATATTTTTTTCTCCTTTTTGCCCTATGACAAGCATATTCAAATCCCAAGGAAGCTAACTAAAGTCCCATATAGTCATGACATTCAGCTGAAAATCCAGGAGTTTTCAGTGATGCAGAGTCATCTCTGTCAGAGGCAAAATGGAAGACACACAGTGGTCCCTAACTTACAACGATTCTGAAGTCCTTCTCGTCATTCAGGTCTGAAGCTTCCTGCCTCATTTCACTGGTCTTGCCTTGATTCTCCTCTACAGGAGAAACTCATTTGTTCTTTGTTACCCATGGCCCTGGCTTTGTCCCCTGAGAGGATCGCCTATCCATTACCTTTCCTAACCTCATCTGAAGTGAGTGGTAAGGAGTAATTCCTCCTTAGTAGCAGACCTTGCAAGCCATTTCCTAATCATCTTAGTCCAGAGTCCAGAATGGGCCGGATGTACAGAGGAGAGCTACAGAGCCTCCCCTGATTGGGGTGAGTGGGCTATTAATGACAGTAGTAATAAGGCTTGAAATTTCTATGATTCTGGTTTCCACATGCTTTTATATACATTATTGCATGCAGTCCCCAAAATAAACTCATGAGATGGAGATGTGTGACAGTGAGAAGGGCCACTGGTAAGTCTAAAGTAAACTATTATAGGCCCATTCACAAGGCAAGAAAATACTTTATGACTTGATTCTGCTTTTTGGGTCCCCCCCCTCCGCTTTTTTTTTTTTTTTTTTACCCAATCTGTGCCATTTTTTGGACTAGTTATTCAGCCAGTTCAGGCTGTTAAGAGTCTGACCTCAGATTTGAAGAGCCACCATCCATCTCTTCCGAGCAAACAAATGACTTGCTTTTGGTAAAGGAGGCTGACATGGTTCTTCTCTTTCTGAGAAAACATATTCAAGTATGAAATACCTGATTCCACCCTGCTCTCTCCTCTTTACAGAACCATGAGATTTCAGCTATGGAAAGGCCAATAATATTGTTGTATACCTGTGACTCATTCCATCTTCCTCAGAGATGTCTTCATGGGTCAGTTCAGAGCAGATGAGGTAGGGGAGGTGGGGGTTGAGAAGAGTTCATCAGTTTTGGGGGCGCCTGGTTGGCTTAGTTGGTTAAACGTCCGACTTTCGCTTAGGTCATGATCTCGCGGTTCGTGGGTTCGAGCCCCGCGTCGGGCTCTGTGCTGACTGTCAGCTCAGAGCCTGGAGACTGTTTCAGTCTGTGACTCCCTCTCTCTCTGACCCTCCCCTGCTCACGCTGTCTCTCTCTCTCTCTCTCTCTCTCCTAGAAATAAATAAAACATTAAAAAAAAAAGTTCGTCAGTTTTGGTTCTGGGCTTCTTATCTCCCCTCAATCACGGCAGCCTAGCTTTGGACTAGAGCAGTAGAATAAAGCATTCAAGTACTAACAAAACTTGAAAACCATGGCTATGAGGGAAATACATTATCTCTGCAGATGAAAAACCTGAAGTCCAGAGAGGCTAATTGGCCTGAATGCACACAGATGCTCACTGGAAGAATTGGCATTAACACTATGTTTCCTGAATCCCAGATGAATGTTCTTTGCTCTGGCATGGTTGCCTGTTACTGCTCTTGGTATAGCATACGGTCTAAGATTAAGGATGGGAGTCAGGCTGCGCCCATGACTGAAAGCATGGGTAGCTTGGGTAGGCAGCTTTAACCTCTTGCTCTTGGTCTCCCAAGTACTCATTAGGTGAAACAGGAACAATCCTAGCTTCCCATCCAGGGAAGGGCAGCTCTGAATGGCTGATGGGGCACCCTGCTAGGATCCTGGCACTTCTCAGGCATTTTGTCAGCCCCTATTTATCAAGGCGCTGCCTGAATTCCTTATGTCATTCTATCTCTTCATCCCCCATGCAGTTAGCCACCATGCCATTTATAATCTCAAGTTAGAGACAACAACATAATTGTCTTTTTAGATTTGAGGCTTTTAGAATGTTGTTCTCCACCAGGCAAACCATGAGAGACTCTTGAATGCTGACAAAAAGTGAGGACTGATGGATGTGGGGGGGAGGGAGGGATGGGCATAGAGGAGGACACTTATGGGGATGAGCACTGAGTGTTATGTGGAAACTAATTTGACAATAAACTATTTGTAAAAAAAAAAAAAAAAAAAAAAAAGAATGTTGTTCTCCACCATAGTTTGGAGGTAGAGTTAATGGCGGTCAGCTTGATTCTGTCTCAATCAGTGGTCTAAGAGTATTAAATATGCAAAAAGTGGCTGCTCTGTCCAAATCTTCTCTTTCCCACATCCCTTCTCACCACATAATATTTGTTTCTGCATAGGACTAGGAAAGAGTGATTGCTTTAAATTTGCATTTCTTTCATCGGTTGGGGAAATACCTCACTGTATCTTGTTTAAGTGTGGTTTTTCAGGGGTGCCTGGGTGGCTCGGTTGATTGAACATCCAAGTCTTGATTTTGGCTCAGGTAATGATCCCAGGATTGTGGGATTGAACCCCATGTCAGGCTCTGTGCTGACCGTGTAACCTGCTTAGGATTCTCTCTTGCTCTCCTTCTGTCCTCCTCCCCTGCTTCCATGCTCTCTCTCTCTAAAATTAAAAAAATTTTTAAAAATGTGACTTTTTACACAGTTCCAGCTTTTGTTGGGGGAGAGGTACGAGTAATTTCCTCCCGTGTGTCTTATTTTCCTGAAAGAGGAAAACAGAACTCCAATATTTGAAATGTCACTGACTTTGGTGGTTGGTTACTTGTTCCAACCATTGGGTTTGGTCCCAAAGAAGACTTGCAGTTTGACTGTGAGCAGGAGAGGTTCTCTGCAGGCCAAGGGATGGGGCCCTAGAATTGAGAGTGACATGTTATGTCTCCTATATCATCCTTGCATGTGCCTGTCAGTGCTCAACTGAGAGCTGGGCCCGTACTGCATTAAGAAGGTTCTGTGGGTTGGTGTCCATCAGCGGAAATGATCAGGGCAGAGTTCGTTGGTGGGAGTTTGCTCATGTTTTGAGAATTAAAGCTTATTTATTTTAGAGCTAGAATACTTTATCAGCTGTTTATATTCCATTAAAATTTTTTTTCTGTTCTCTGCTTTGTTCTTTCAGTTTTTGACAAGTGAACAAAAATTCTTTTTAATAACTTTTAAAAAGATATCATCATGCTGTCCAGAGAGGAAAAAGCGATCAAACTGCCTAACCAAGAAACATTGTGCATTTGTTTTTATTTTGCTCAGTACTAAATCTATATCTCCCCAAACCTCATTCTTTTCTAAACGTGTAACAACAAAGTAAGAGGTAATTTTTGTTTTTTTCCAATGTGCCTTCAGGGAAATTCCTTTTAAATCTATGGGTTTTAGTCCAATGAGGGATCTTCTCCCTTTGGTCTACATTTTGCATATCGTCTGTTTCTTACAGGGCTTCCGTATTGTCTCAGGCTCCACTGGAAATGCAGCAAGGATTCCTAGCACATCCCGGTTGCCATAGCAACAGCAGTCTTTCCCATAATGAGCTGCATCATCTGAACTGATGTCACAGCATCATGCAGCAGGTCAAACAAGGCATCTCCTAGTATTGCATCCTACAGATGTGCTGTAAACATCAAAAGGAGACGGTGGGAGCAGGAGATGGTGAGTGTTGAATGTCTGGGCCTTAATTGCACGGCTGTTTTGTTGGTTAGTCGGTGTCTGCTAAGGCGGAGATGGGGGGGATGTTGTCTGCTTAAAATGGACTAGGGAAAGAAGGGCTGTTTTACCTAAATCTGTTTTTCAGGCTGCTGGGTTAAGACAAAGGCCTGTAAGAGTCATAGAGGAATCATAATACATAGAATTAATCTTGCTCCATCTCTGCCTGTTATTTTTGGTGTTCTCATAGAATTTTTCATAAGCATAAGATAATTTTCTATTGCAAAATCCCAAATAGGCTCTGAAATGAGCAGTTCACAATGTTTCAGCATTGTGAAGATGTATATTTCTCTCTCTTTTTTTTTATTGGGCAGAGCTAATTGGTCCCCTGTTTGCTCTTGTGATTTTTGAAATATTTAGCGATTTACAGTATGAAATTTGGTATTTACCTCGGTTGGGTTTCAGTTTCTTCATGGCAAGGAGCGAATGCTGAATAAGCATTTGACATAACCCTGGTGTGAAAGGGGATCTCTTGCCTGTTCAAGAGAGAATTTATTAAAAGCGTGAAGACCCAAACCAAATGAAATTACTTGAGCTTTTTGATTTATATGGTAGTCCTTCAACTCACGTCCTTCATAGTTAGTTGAAAGCCTGCCACGATATTTTTCCATCTCTAGACAGTCTCTAAAATAGCTTGAGTTGTTTGCAGGCGGACTTGTAACAAGTCTGCTCTCTGCGGCAGTTGCAGTGAAGGGTAACACTGAGGAGAGCTAGTGGGTGCTGCTCTTAACTTTAGCCAGAATCTGGTAAGATGAATAAATAGCAGGGTTCCAAGGGACTATGGTGAATACAGATCTCTGGACTCAGTCCTAACCTCAACTTAATTCTGAACTACAGTAAACATGTATCATGTTCATTTCAACTCTTAGCTATGTCTTTAGGCATCTTCAATTTACATATATATATATATATATTTTTTTTTCCTCCTAAAAACTGTAGTCTGACAGTATCAGTTAAGGAGCAATGTGTTGCCTTTTGTTTTGGGAAATGAAATGGATTTTCCTGGTGCAGCTGCTGATTGCTATAAAGAGAGAGAAAGGAGGAGGCACATGTCAGTTCAGTTGATCAATATGTCCACTTGGAATCAGGGAGTGGTCTTTTGGCTCAATGTTGCTGAGTTGATAGTTTTTATTTGAAAAGTCTTAAAGGAAAGAATGGCAACCCCTGAGTTGCCCTTCTTTTAGGCTGTTTATTGAGCCTAAAAGAGATGTATCCTAGGCAGGAAAAACAGTATCTCTAGCCAGCTTGGAGTGATTGTTTTTTTTTTTTCTCCCCCCTCACAGTCGATCATATTGGTCCCATTAGGCACTAGCTGGAATGAGAGACCTTAGATTTTAATTAGTTTGTTTATACACATCACATACATACTATTCTTGATCCTTTAAGCTTATATGGCTGACATGCAGCTATATGGGATGGGAGAGGTCAGCTCAGCCTGGCTTTATTGCAAGCACTTAGGAGCATGAATTGTTCATTGCCTGTTTTTTTTGTTGTATAATGCAAACAGAAAGCTTTGCTGGGACTGCTGGGTATGAACGCAGCTAAGTCAGAAGCTGTAAGGTGACAGGGAGGAGTCCTAGATGGAAATGGGGGAAGGGAAAGTGTGTCTAGTTGTTGAATTATGAGTCTGGAGAAAATCACCCAGTATGTATTAGAATTCTTTTAAACTATTACTTCCAAGCAAAAGCAGGGAAGAAAGACTTGTTTGGTAACATGAATTGTTAGGAGTAAAAATAATCAAAGACAGCATTTTAATGAGTTTTCTACTTGCTTAATTTTTGTTTCTTTTGTCTAACAGTGTATTAAGCTGCTTCATCATGGGTGATTTGTATAATTACTGGAAGTCACAGAAGCCAGATTCCTTAAGGGCAGTGTTAGAAAAAGTGGAGTCATGCTTTGAGGGTGGGGAAGGCGCCGGTGGGTGTGGGCTGACGCAGTTGTCTTGTAGAATATTCTCTGCTTTCAGAGGAACCTGTGACCGCCCCCCTTGCCCACCACACCCTTACCCGTTCCTGTAGGTATTCAAAATGCAGTTACAGTTCTCCAACTTTATGCTTTTGTGCTCTTTTTGCTCCAGGAGAACAAAGCCCTAGTAATGGGAGCTGTCATCCTGGTGCTCAGTTTCTTTGCAGAAGGCCACAGCCTGTGCTGCTCTCTGATTAGCTGTGTGTCTTAATTACTGGCTAGGGCTATTTCAGTTGCTTTAGTTTTAATATATCCCCAAGGGGTGGATGGTGTGTGTGTGTGTGTGTGTGTGTGTGTATGGGGGAGGGGAGAGATTGCTCTGTGGCTGCATTTAGTGGTGTTTCACTGAAACTTTGTAGAATTGAAAGAATTTTGTTTCACAGTGATTAGTGAAAGGTCATAAAGGCCATGTTTACTATGTGACCAAGTTTCCACCATGGAAACTCACAAGAAGCTAACCTCTTCCATGCTTTTGGTTATGGCCTTCCCCCCCCACCCCCAAGTTACAAAGTTGCAAGAAGTTAATTATTTATGGGAGTGATAGAAATAGTCCTCAAAATAACAATTCTTATAATATTCTCATTATGTATCCGGCTCTGGACCTAACATTATATATATTTCATTTAGCCCTTATAATGACATTATGAGATAGAGAATAATAATTTTATTTGTAGATTTGAGTGATATTATTCATGTTTTGCAGAAACCAAGTCATAGCCTGGTTAACAAAGTTGGCTAGGTTAAGTTAATAAGTGATTGGGTCAAGATTCCAAACCAATGTGATTTGACTGTGATACCCATAGACATCTTAGTTTTGTGACATCTTAACTGTGTACACCATACAGATCAGTCATCTTTACTCTGTCATACTACCACACCCTTCTGTTTGGAAAATCAGATTTCACATTTTCACACATAGAATGAAATTCCATTTATGACACTAAGTTCCATTTTACTGCATGGAAGAGCTTGAATTTTGGTGAGATCTTTGTCTGATCCTAGAGACTGAAGGAATGCAGAATTGAGGCTCAGAACTTTTTTCAGTACCCTGACTCAACATATCATTCTAGCAGGATCTACATATGGAAAATGCTAGATGAAAATGACTATGAGATTGATGGACTTGCACTAAAGGTAGGTCTTATCTATCTAGGTCAGTAATGAATCAAGTTTGTTGTACCTGTCTCATCAGCTACATAAATAGTGTTCTGCGAACTTTAAGACATTTGCGCTTGCTGGTAACAGCAAGCAAGGAATAGAAGAGGAAACTTCTCTCACAGCCAGAAGGTATACTCCAAATCCATCTCTTTGGTCAAGAAGATGAAAAGAGAGGGTTTTTTTTTTTTCCCCACTGAATGTATCGGTGGCTGAATCCAAATGCTTCCTATCTCTGACACAGTACTAGAATGATGGTATTGTGCAACATCCTGGAGGCCTTGTGTTTGAGGAGAGCTGATACAGTCATCTCTGTATCATCTTGCCCATCCCCAGCTATCCACGCCCAGCATCATTAGTGGGCTCTAAGGGCTGTTCTTTGTTTGACTGTGGGGCTAATGCAAACACTGACAGCACATTGATATTGATTCTGGTATGGTGAATACTTAGAGATATCATTCCATGGAGCTCATTAGCCTTTTCTAGGTTCTGGGAAGAAGTTAACCTTTGTCCCAGCTTGCTCCAAGGAGGCCCAAGCTTGTGTCTGCCTGAGCTACAGAAATGAGAGGCTGATATGAAAGCAATAGAGTTACTAAGTACAGTGACTACATGGTTAGAGTCTAACTAGGGAATAAAAAGGCCAGTGGAAGTTAGGGAAGTTGGTAGTCCTGCTACATGTGTCTGATTTCCTCCTATTTCTAATCCTAGAATCAGTGAATTATGATTTGTTTTGATCCTATGGATTCAGTTCAATTCAACAAGAATTTACTGGGTATCTACTATGTTCCAGGCAATGTGAGGGAACATAGGATTAAATAAGACAGATGCAAATCTCTTCCCCATTACATTCTAGAGGGATAGACAAAAATAAACAGGTAAATTTACAATGGAATAATTTATTCCCTCTGATATTATAATACTACTATTTCTATTTAGTTCTGTTCCACTTGCTAATAGATAAACTCATTATTTCTGCACACACATATATAGGTGCCTATGCTTATATGGTCTACATGTGGAGATAAAGTCACTGCATGAAAATATAGCCTTGTGATCTTGCTGCTTGGGTTTGTGTTAGAATTTTGCTGGGTATAGACAAAGCCTGCATAACAATTAGCATTTCGTTGGTATGAGCTGTTCTGGAGGTATAATTGTAATCTATCACAAAGTATACGTCCATCTCAAGTGACATAAACCTGACATATAGAAATATGAAATGTTTATGACAGATCAGTAAGGAGAGATTTTTTTTTCATCCTTATAAAAGGTATTTCTCATTTTAAAAACTATTCTGAGAGCCTTATAAATTGAATGGTTTAACCAGTAAGCCAGGGGAAGTATATTTTATAGGACTTTGGCCACAGCAACAGACTTTTAGGCATTTTGAATTAATAAGGCAAAATATTTTTTTCTCTATCAGCACATACCTATCAGCAGGTGACTCCATTAGCTGGTTTTGAGACTTGGTGAGGACAGAGGAGAGACTTTGTTTCCCTTGTAAGCCACCAGCGATATTTTTATCTGTTTTTCAGCTAAAGGACATGCTTCAAACTCTTCCAGGCATCTTGCAGCTGGGTGCTTTGAGTCTCAAAGAGAAATGGGGAGAGGTTGTGGTATCTTTGGGACACAGTATCAAGCAGGACAATTCATGGGCTAAATGTGGCCTGCAGTTTGTTTTGTATACCTCCAGGCTGGGCTTCATGGGCTTGCAGCCCGTGCAGTCACATAGAGCTGGTGCTAAGAAGGGTCCACACTTGATTTAATGTTCTGCTGTCACCATCATGAAATTCTTAATAATTTTTGAGCAAGGGGTTCTGCATTTTCAT